TAGTACAAGAAAGTAACAATTAGACTTAGCCATTGGATATGAATCCGACATATTAAAGTGCTTCGTAACTTTCAAGAATTTTATTTTAGACCTCATGCCCCCGTCAATGACATGTCCCCAACCATCCGATATCATATCTAGTGGTGAATAATGATTCTGACTTTCTTATATCAAAAGTGAATGAGACCATTTACTTTTGATACAAAGAGATCACAATCATTATTGACCATTGGATGTGAAATCAAATAGTTAAGGATGTGCAATTGATTGGGCACAAAGTCCAAAATAAAAATTTCTTAATGTTGTGACACCCTTCAATACATTGGACTTTACATCCAATAGCTAAAAATGATTGTGACCTCCTTGCACCAAAAGTAAATAATTTCATAGTATACAAATAATCATGAGTCATAATACTTGCAAATACTCATCAATGAATTTCTACAATACTTATTTATGAATAACACTTATAAATAATCATGCGTGAATTTCTACAGTACTTCACTCGTAGCTCATCAGCATTCAAAGTCCATGAGACCGCCATAATTACCCAATAGTATTTGAATTTACTATGTATCCGATTTATCTGAAATTTGGGGTGTGTACATAAAAACCATCTCGCACAAAAACAAAACATCCAAAAATAAAGGACAAAAATGCTCCCAAAACATTTATAGGGGTAATTTGATCATTTTATGAAAAGATTTCATTAAGACCATAAACCAATTTCTACACTTTTAGGTTATAGGTAAAAAACACCTAAAAATTTTGTATAGTTAGGGAATGTTTGGTAACTGAAAGCTGGGGATTCCCTGGAACCTAGAAGTTCTAGTTCCCTGGATGATGAAACTTTTGATTTCCGAAAGTTCTCATATACTTATTTGATAACTTGTTTGAAAGTTCTCAAATATATAGAATAGGCTCCACCGTGATCTAAGAAAGCTTCAAAGAGATTAGGTTAATAGAGAGAGAGAGAGAGAGAAAAGGAACGATTAGAGAGAGACTACTTAGAGAGAAGGAAGTGAAATCATTAAAGAGAGATTGACACATTTAGAGAAAAAAAGGAGTCAGAGACATACAAGTTAACTTTGAGTGATAGTATGGACACGATTTGAGAGAGGCTTTATAGAGAATAGGCACACTTAGAGAGGGAATGGAGTCAGAGAGAGAAAGGTCATAATTAGAAAGAGAATACTTGGAGAGAGAGAGAGAGAGAGGTACACAATTACAAAAGGCATTGGTAGAAGGAGCGGCTGGAATCAAAAAGGGCATGAATAACAAGTTAAGTGAAGTACCATTGGGGGATGAAAATTGTGGGTTCTCAATTGTTTGAGAATTAAAAATTTCCTAAATTCAATATCATGTAGGACTTCCTATTAAACTAGAAGTGCTATAGTAAACTAGAACTTCCAGCTTTTGGAGCGGGAAGTTCCAATTATAACATGTGCTATGGGAATTTGCGTGTGTGTGCTATGGGGATTACTATAAAACCGTTGCATAAAATCACTCCCAACATATATATAAATAACCACGACTATGGAGTACATAATGGTCTAAGAAGGGTGAGGGCCTTAAACTTTCCCTTAACTCGTCTCAAACCCAGGTAAAAAGGGTGGATTGTATTAGATAGGCAGCCAACATAAAACTTTATCAAAACTTCTCATGAATCCAGAGTATACGATATGGAAGGCCCAAAAAAAGATATGTTTGGAAGTAGTGAGAAAAAATACGGACTTATGGCCTCACTGAAGGTATGGCCCTTAATAGAGCAGGATGATAGACCACGATTCGTGTAGCTGACTCCAATTAGTTGAGAAAAGGCTTTGAAGATGATGATGATGTTTATGGAGTACAAAAAGAGAAGTGGATAGAGAGGAAACCAAACCTAGTCCTCGAGCTGCCTTCTTCTCCTCAATTGGATCACCCAGGCCTTGAGCAAGCTCAAGAGCTGCCTTGAACTCTGCATATGCCTTTTCTGGATCCTGATTTCTGAGAAAATTCTTGCCTGTCTTCAGATTTGTTACAAGCCTCTCCTTCCTTGGGTCCACGATCACTTCTTTTTCAGCTACTCGTCCAACTGGGGCATAGCTCAAGTTGGGTGCATATGACTCTATCTTAGCCTGCCTTCTTAGAGCTGCATTAATTTGGCGAAGCTGATCATTCAAGCGCTCCAGTTCTCCTCTTCTCTGCCGAGCAAGCAATCCTGAAAACCCAGAATTCGGTATAAGCTCAAATAAAGTACTTGCACTAGCATGACATTATGTGGAAGAGGACCTATGAACCAAAATACCATGAATGTCTAGACCTTTATGCATCAACTTCAGTTCTCACACTCATTAACATTCTGTGACTGTCTAGTGTTCAACATTCATCTCAGCATCCTAAAATCCATCAGGATCCTAAATGCTTCTGTTGTAATCCTTGATGGTCATTATCAATGTTGGGTCCTTGACAAAGTTCATGATACATTATCACAATGAATTATCCCTGAAAGCATATGTGTATCAAATAGCTATATCCTGCCAAAAATATCAATTGAGTTTATAATGAGCATATAGCCCTTTGAAGGTCAAAAATTCCTTAATCTATTATAACCCCTTATCACATGGTCACCTTATGTGTGCTCATGTTTTTAAGTTCCTATAAATGAAATCTAATGTTTAATGAGTAAACAATGGTTCAGGTAAACAAGGGTTCAGGCTTCTGAGCAAGTGGACTCTTAATACACATACATCTATCCAAAATTAATATTAAAAGGCCTTGTGTACTATGTCAACATTTGGGTGTCCTACAGTCTGCTAGCACCTGAGCAACCATTCAGGATTTTGGAAATTTGGATCCCCACTCATAACACACATACTTTAAAACTGCTGTTATGAAGACTGACTTAGGAAATTTCGATCCCTACTCAAAGTCCACACAAAATATAGAACTGCTTATTACAAAAACTGACAGGAGCGTTAAGCGTAGGACAGGTTCATGAACCATAAGAAGTCATGCATTTATTAGTTCCTAGTAAGAAAAACGTTTGTTGGTGGTGTACCTTACCTCCAACAGTAGCTCCGATGAGGGCTATGGCAAAGAGTAAAGGCATATTCATATTGAAGACGGAAGGATATTCAGCTTCACATGTTTCCGCCAAAGCTTCCAATGGCATGAAGACTGTCAATGAACTCGCCATTAAAATGCTTTCCACAGGAATGTTAAATGATCCCAGGCTCTGCACAAGTCATTAGATCAATCATATGGCTATTGCTTGCTCAGTACATCATAACATGATGCAAGTGAAGCATAGCATGATGTTTGCCATACTTCAGAGAGTTAATATATACTCCAATCAACTAAAGTATTCCGCAAGAGAAAACCACATGCTTGATCTAATAAAGCCAAGAAATTGAACAGTAAATTCATGCAAATATTACTATGGTAGGAAAATAAACAATTTCAATGGCTTAAGAGACTCAAATCTAATTGCAGATGGAAAATCAACCACAACAAAGGAACCCCAGGTGAAGTTTTGCAGGCTTTGCCAGGCAATACAAGGAAGATGAACGTCATAAACCCCTAAGACCCTAAGGATAGAGATTAGGATATGGATCCAACAAATTCCCTCATTTTATCTCAAAAGGGCAGGACAATAGAAATGAAGTTTTGCAGATGGTACACTTAAAAAAGTTTTCAGAAGCGTAAGTTTTCTGTTCCTACAAAGATCTCATCTCCAGTTTGATTTCGCTTAGATCCAAAGTTCTTGAGCTCAAGATTCATGGACTCAGTAAAGGCATTGTTTTGTTTAAATGATTCTATTTGTTCATGAAAGGTTGTCATATAACCCAAATTTAGTTATGAAGTTGTTCTATTCATGGAAGAACGATGTAGAAATATATATAAACAAGAACCAAACCCAAAAAAAATAGACATTCCACCTACAATGTTATTGTCTAAAATGTTGGAAAAAAACTATGGAAATTGTAGAGGCTGAAAAAAGTTGTTTGGGACTTTTCTACAAATATTCACAAAATGAAGGAGAGGCACTTGATTGCTCTTTTGTTTAAACTGCTAGCAGGAGATTTTTTATATTATTTCTGATTTCTAGTGGAATGGATGTGTCATCTTCTTCTGTGAAAGATAAGAAGCTTCCAGAAAGGGTTTCTACTATGGAAGACGAAGTGAGTTAGCATCCAAGTGGATTACATAAAAAAGAAGTTGACAATGAATCTAAGAGAATATTTTAATTGTCTTTAAGAACTGTGGGAAGAGGAAGAGGCTTGAGGAAGTAAAAATTGATTCAAAACACAAATGTTTATTACATTCCTCATACTGTTTTTCCCTACAAATTGAGAGGCATCGGCTTTTTGATAATAGGCGAGTTCATGATTTGTGCATTATGCTTGATGGTTATTGACAACTGCAGCACCAGGACCCAGGTTTAAATCCCATTACCGACCTGCCGATAAAACGAGATAGATAGATAGATAGATAGATAGGCTTTGGTTGATAATCAAGAACTTATATGTCCTTCCCAAGATGACAATGCCAACGCAGATTTTTGGAAGTGTGTTATTGTAAGATATTCAGTCGGTTGATTTGGATGGGAAGGAAATTCCTCATCTTGGTTGATGGAATCTTCAGAGTTTGGGAAGGGCACATTGCAATCTAGAGTTGGTCCATTCAATGAACTAGATGACAATAGAAGATACCTTCCAATTATTTCTCATGTACTTATTGGAAAGGAGAAGCATGAAGTTCTTCATAAACTTTCTCCTCTCCTTTAGATCAAGAGGAACCTCAAGCTGGAGAGTGAATGAAGCAAAGATGAAGTTTGACAATCGAAAGCCCAAGCAGTCACGGGGTTCGCTAAAGAAGCGCCCATACAGCTCCATGCATGGACAAGTAAGAGACCAACCTTCTAGGCGCTTTTTTTTTTTGGGGGGATTTTCTAGGTGCCTTCTTAGATATTTTCAAGTGATCTTCATCAATTTATTTTGTTAAGTGTGCGAATTTAAATGTATGGAAAGTGGAAAGTGGAAATTTGTTGCATCTTCTATGGGTAGTTTTGGGATTTAATATTTAATGTATGTCTCACTTGTGCTTGGATGTTCTTCTTTTAAGTTTTTCTTACTCTTTGCTTGCCTGATTGGTGTTGGTTCCCTACAAGGACTTCCTAAGAGGTCAACAGCCTAGTGTGTCCTTTTGGATTTCCAAGGATTGTGTTTTATAATAAAATGAATGGAAGAAGCCCGACTACCCCACAAAAGTTTCTCAAAGGAGGAAATAAGAAAGTCACTATTTAGAAGGGGGAAAGGTTTCTATGCTTCCCCTACAACATAGAAGTTCTATCCTCCCCCTACCATCCAGCCGTCCAATTTTGATGAAGAGAGCCACTTACCGTTTGATCTTAAATCCGACGTCTCAAAGTATTTTATTCTTAGTTTTTTTTATACAAATTGTATGAATATGAAATTTGATACGTCCCATCTTCTCATTGGGGCACACCTATAAAAAATATTAAAAATAATTTTTCGATAAAATATAATGACCAAAATACCCCTTGAAACTTTCAGGGGTATTTTGGTCATTTTCTTTTATTGAAAATATTTTTTTTATGTTTTTCGCTAGTGGGAATTTAATAGAGGAATGGACGTCCAAAATTTGGTGTCAAAATAGTTTATAGAAAAAAAATTGAAAATAAAATAGTGTAGAGATGTGATATTGTGATTAGGGCAATCTTAGCCCTCCATTCAGAATGGACGGTTGGATAAGGGGGAGGATAGAACTTCTATGCTGTAGGGGAAGCATAGAAAGCTTGCCCTTTAGAAGGAGCTTAGGAAGTTCAATTTGTCTTTTAGGCACCTAAATGATGTAATGAGGTTAGAACCATTAGGCAATTGGAAGGCTTCAAAACTTATGGAAGGTTCCATAATGTTACTCTCAAATTTGTAAGTTTTCTATGTAGGACTTTGTGTCATGTCTGATAGTGAAAGAACTTAGTGTGAGTTGCAAATTCAATTTCTTAACAATATCTTGGTTTCCAAATTACTAACATGCAAGTTCTAGAAATACCAAAAGGTTGATTCTAACAATCCTAGTGGTCATACTACATAGCTTCTTCAATGGATTCAAAACATATTGGGGAACTGTGAGTTCCCTAGATCATAAGCCCATGCATCTTTCGGGTAAACTGGAATTTTTTTACTTCTATAAAGAAGCACAAGCTGTCAAACAACAATGATATGCCTAGCTCTACCGATCAAATCCCCAGCGCAAGCTTTGCAAGATGCACATTGCTCTGCATAAGCTAATAAACTAACTCCAACTTAAGCGAGTCCCAAAGGTAATATGTACCATACCAGTCAAATTGATTTGCAAGTTATTGGAAGTGACTGTAAGAAAAGTCAATCACATTGCAAATGGAAATTAAAATTGTTATATTGTTGCAAATGTTCAAGCAAACTTACGCGTACAATATATCATTGAATGTATATTCCTGCCATTAGCCAGCCATATTGCCCTCATGATCCATTTGTTGATAAATGGCTCTTAAAATAATTGTTCTCAATACTCTTGACGATAAATAGATGCCGTGGCAGTTCCAAAGGTAGCTCAACACTTAAGAAATGCTTCAAACAAAGTCATCCTCCTTGAGCTTTTAATGTATGTTTTCAGCAAAATAATGCAGACATATATCACGCAACATGGCATATGGTAGATTCACTAATTTCTTCTTGAGACAATACCTTAAGTTGTAGTTACTTACAATCCTTGCAGTTCAATTAAAACCTAGTTTGAAAAGTAAGTTAGATGAATGCATTCCTCTTCAAACAAGAAGATAAGAATCATTGACATATAGAAAACGGATACTGGCCCTAAAATACACAGATTAATGAAGTAAAGCACTACATGAATAGCCATATATTTGTGGTTTTTTTTTTTTTTTTGAAAAAAATCATATATTTGTGTTTTTTCGGAAAGAGTCTGACCCTTCATTTTAAACTCTAGAAATACATTGAGAGAGCGAGAGAGAAAATCCACAACAGCTGCCATACAGGGCATCTATCCGAGGATAGAATTTTTCAACTAAGGCGCATACAAATTAAACAAAATAACAACACCCAAACTTTGGAACTCCAAATATTTCGAATTTCTTCAATGCCCACATCCACAAAAATTATTGAATAAAGTAATATTCAAACCCCTAAAAACATCTAAAAAAAACTTCATTCCGACAAGAAACTAATTAGAAACCATATTCACAAAATTCAAAGACTGAATAGGCAATCATTTACATAAACAGAGACATGTTGCATTGATTGAAATAAACAACCATCAAGACATTTTCAGCCACCTATCTATATAACCATTCAAAGAAATCCATTAAACTCTACTAAAGAGACTCAAAACTTTGCAGATATTTCATATAAAAAGATCAACTTACAAATTGAAGTCTTTTCCCGCATTGTGGAGGTAAAGAAGCCAAAATTCTGCTCTGCAATGGAAACCCATTACACTTTCTACTGAAACTTGACGGGAATCCATTGATTTTGTCGACTGTACAAAACTTCCATTTCGAATTTAGAGGAGGGTGTGTGGGTTTCACACACACTATTAATCCCATTTGGGGTTTCAATTACGCGCTACAGCAAATGAACCATATCCATGTCGAGTTGTGAGCAGAGAAAATGAAACATACGAAGAATTTTCACATTGGAACAAAATAGATAGGATAAGGGAAAATGACGGAAATGTTACTACTTTCCACCAAAGTATCCTGAATACCTCTTCAAAGGTCAATACTGCCCCCCATATTTTTAGAAAACGACCTATTGTGCCCCTGAAAATCACGAATTCCCAACTATCAATCGAAAATTCTCTAAAGATGCCCCTTGTGGAATCCATTTTTAAATCTATGGAATTTCTAATAGGAAAATTTATACAAGGTTGCAACTTTATATTGCATAACCAAGGTGCACTTTACAAATCTAGTAGAAAAGAGAGATATGAAGTTGGAAATCTCCTAATCGATCATTTTGACCTCGAGATAGATACATATAGAGAAAAATCAAATCCAAAAAATAATGCATCTTGTAACAAGTTATCTGGATCATTTATTTTTAAAATTTTCAAGTATTTATGAATTCGTGTGATTTGTGCCCTTTTTAGATTTTCAATTTATATGTTGAACAATAGCATAAGGTAAAATGTGTGTCCTTGATCAATCGGGTGGTATAAAGAGACTATATATAATTGTGTACATAAGAATTTGTATAAGGATCCTTGAATGGATAAATGAAGGATGTGGTTCCGGTAAATCGCTACAATAAACTAAGGTTGAACCTTTACAATAAGGCAAGTATACAATACACAATTAGTTAAAAGGTACAAGATGTCAAGGGTGTCATGGATGTCCTTTATAACATCCTATTATTTCCTCAACACCCTTCCTCAAGATTGATGTTCAACTAGAGTGGATTGTCAGCTTGTCTCGAAGAGCATGAAAGCGAGTCGTGAACAATCTTTTTGTGGAAATATTAATGATTTGTAGAAAGCCTGGAACAAACTACACACACAAGGATCCCCGAGCCACATGCTCCCTTATGAAGTGACAATCAATCTCAACATGCTTAGTATCGGGGTGAAGAGCTAGATGGAATGCTAAATACGTCGTACTAACATTGTCAAAGTGAATCACTGGGGAGATGGTAGATAGATGTGTAATATCAAACAAGGATCCATTGAATATCAACAGCTGCAGTAGCAAGAGCACGATACTCTGCCTCAGCATTAGATCAAGACATTGTAGATTTCTTCTTGGAGTGCCAAGTCAAGAGGTTCAGCTCAAAGAAAACACACATGTTGTGTAGTAATGGCATGATCAGGAGTCCCATTGATATAGTAGAGAATTCGTTTAAAGACAATGAGGAGTTTGGTGCGAGGTAGGTGCATGAATTGGTAGATTTGATTAGCTGCATAAGTGATATCAGGTCAGGTCATCATGAGGTATTGTAATACACCAATACTGATAAGTTGAGACATCAGTAAGAGGGTAGCCATGGTTTAGGTGAATGCTAAATGACGAATGACCAACCTCTATATCAAGAAAGAAATGGAGGTCAGCGAAATCTCCAACCTCAAACCTGGTTTGGAGCTTAACAATAGGAGTGGTTCGAAAACAAGAACCTGCCCTGGTTCATATTATATCATCAACATATAAGATGAGTATAGTGAGTCCATGTGAGCCACCATGACTGAACATGAATGTGTCAAAGGAGCTGCATAAGAAACTGAGCTCTAGTAGATAAGAACTAAAACCAATGAATCAAACGTGAGGGGCCCGTTTAAGGCCATAAATAGCTTTACTTAGGGGACAAACATGGTTAAGATAATTTTTATCAACAAATCTTGAACGTTGATGCATATGGAAAACTTCACGGAGTGTACCATGTAAGAATGCATTTTTTAAATAAGTTGTCTGATGGGGCACACAATTGATGACAATATAAAGAACCAATCAAATCATAAGTGACTAAATGTTTCCACATAATCCAAACCATCTTGTTGACTAAACCCTTTTATCGACTAATCGAGCTTTATATCACTCAATCGATCCATCAACCAGTTGCTTTAGCTTATATACCCATTTGCAGCCAATAATGTTGGATGCTAATGAGGCAGGAACCAAGGACCACGTGTGATTCTTTAAAGAGTTAATTACGTATATATCCTATATAAGTAGAGAAAATATGATATGCTCCATTTATACGGAATATTATATCCAAGGTCGGCCAACGCGACCTTTTATTTTTTTGATGAAATTAACCCTCGGTCCGAAGATTCTATCATGGGACCATATTTTAACTTTTTTGTCTTTTTTAGAGGGGTGGTCCGAGGATAGAATCCTCAGACTGATCGTTCTATGTTTTTTTAGAAAATACAGCTGTCTGAGGTCCCCATCCTCAAATTGCTCCTTATTTTAGAAAAGAAATAGCGATCCGAGGTTAGAATCCACCGAACATTCCTTTTTTTTTAGAAAACAACAGTCCAAGGTTCCCATCCTCGGACTGCTCTTCATTTTTTGAAAAAAAAATAGCAGTATGAGAATGAGAACCTCGGATCGTACCATGGGCAAATCAAGACAACTGGAGAGGGCTTACGAAAGGATAGAGAGATTCATTAAAGTGAACATGGCTTAAAAATAAAAGCGACCATCGACCGGATCAAGACCCATGTATCCTTTGTGTTGGGACCCATAGCCACGAAACACACAAGGAACAGATCTAAGCTCTAATTTATCAGAGTGTTAAGAGCCAAGAAATGGATAACACCGACACCTAAAGTTGAACAAAATACTATAATCCAATGGAGTACCAAACAAAACTTCATTTGGAGACTTGTACCCAAAGTCGGAATTGGCAGGCGATTTATTGGGAAAACAGTTTTAGAGAAGGCCTCCATCAAAAAGCGTCAAGGCATGTAAGCATGGTGGAGAAGAGTAAGACCGGTCTCAATGATATGACGATGCTTACACTCCGCAACTCCATTTTATTCAGGAGTGTGAGGGCAAGACAATAAATGTTGAATTCTAGAATTTTATAGTATTTGAAAGAACAATTTATTAAAATACTCATAGCCACCATTAGACTGCACAAACTTGATTTTAGTAGTGAAAAGGATTTCCACCACAATTTTAAATTTTCAAAAGTAGCCAACGATCTCACAATTTTTTACTAGAGGAAAAGTCTAAGTATATTTTGAATAGTTATCCATGAATATCAGATAATAGCATTTACAAATATTTGCACTTGCAGCATGAAATTATAATATGAAGACACAACCCAGCACTCAAGAACTAAGAACAAGATGAGAAAAATAAAAACTCATCGCAAATATTCTCCAACATTACGCTATGTAAGCACTGAAAAAAATTCCAATCAACTTGCTTCTACTAGAAAATGGTAGTGAATTTAACTTAAGTAATAGAAACAAAGCCGAAGGGAGTTTACCTTTAGATTTCAAGCAACAAATGTACGCTTGAGGAGCTACCAAATTTAAAGGCAAAACTCGCTAGAGCCCTCCTCCACACAACCAAACATACACTTCGTAGTAGGGATAAGGAGAATTTATGGTTGGTGTAGCAGAGTGCTCCATTGCTCTATGAACAATGACTACCTAGTGTATTCAAATATGGTGTGTGGAGAGAGAGAGAGAGAGAGAGAGAGAGAGAGAGAGGAGGTGTCAGAGATAAAGTAAAAGAAAAGAGACGACGACGACACGTAACGAGGAGGGAAGGAAGAAAGAGAGAGTAGTAGGTAGGTAGTTAAGTAGGAGGAGGG